AAAGAGTGTTACGGTATTAAGCTCAGAGTACACACAACGGAATTTTGGCGCGTCGTCTGTGCGTGCGTGCACGCACGTTACATCACGCGCGGCGCGCGATGAGACAGAAAGCTCGAAGCAGATGTTTTTGATATTTAAAAATATCTGCGCGACTATTTGCGTGTCGTGATATTCTCGCCTCGGTTCGACTCAATTCGACTTGGGAAACCCCACAGTGGCGTGGAAATCGGTGGACACACGCGGATGCTTTCACCCTTGAACGTTTCCTTCGACGAGGAGACCGTTCTCGACTTCTCTTCGTGTTCTCCGTGTCTACGAATTCTGCAATAAAAATTGACAATAAAGTCTGTCGTCAACCTCGCTTAGGAGGACCTATTATAATTACGAATTACCGATACGGTGTCGATTGAGTATAAAAATACATCATACGATGTATGAGTAATTTATAATATGCGATTTATTCCTCTATGCGTCTTTAACGCTATTGCATTTTGTGCACCGTGCATCTATTCATCATGATAAGAATAGAAGCATAAATATTTGTTAGAGATCTGCAGAGCTCTCTGTTGCGAGGTGGGCTCCAACTACAACGAAATTAGTAATTACATTCCGCCAATGTACATACTGTTGGTGGTAACAAGGGAGGGTTAATTTTAGCAGTTACTTTGATCGGTACGAACCTAGTTTGGACCGCGGGACGCCAGCCAAAGCTCCGACGACAATGATTCACCGCGTCTTCCTAGTTCTATGTATATCTTCTAGAAGCATGTGACTCGGTCGCATCGTTATGAAGTACGTGTTCCCATCCTTGTTTAAACCATTCGATTAAGAAATACGTGCTGGTATCAAAATGACAAATACGTCTCGCTATGGTTGCCTTCTTAATCCTGGAGCAATGCCTCGTATAATGTATTCCTACGAAATGAGAATCGTGTATTAATTATAGTGTACTTTGTGTTTCAGGAGAAATGTGCTTGCACATAGCCGCCTCGTCAGGTCAGGTGGAACTCGTACGACTTTTGCTGCGCCTTGGAGCAGATCTCGAAGCGAGAGAAGCATTGGCGGGAAAAACGGCCCTACACCTCGCTGTAGAACGTGGGTGTCGGTCAGTGGTTGCGTTCCTCCTTCAAGAGTGCAGGCCTTGCTTAGATACGCAGACCTATGCCGGAATCACCGCATATCAGTTAGCTCTGTGCTTCGATAGTCAACTCGCAAGGGAATTAGTAAAATTGGGAGCAACACCGGAACCGCTTCCCGAGTCGGATTCCGACAGCAGTGACGAGGATGAAAGCACTGCAGCCAATTATTTACCTGCAATTGCGAGACTTAGGCAAAACGTGGTCGGCGTTAAAGTATAGAAAGTTGTACGACCGATAATTAGCATTATGTAATTGGTTAAAATATCATCGAAAAAACTATTCCAAACGATGTATACATATGTATGTACGTGTTATATATCGTTTGTTTGTCGAGGATATTTTAAAAAGCTTTTGTGGCCACGTATCGCGATACGGGTACGTAGGGTAGACAGAAACGATTCAAAATCCGTCGAGTGTAAGTATTAATCGTATCAAATCGAATGTTTTATTCACTTAAATCTAATTAGTAACATCGATGTGAAACGTATTGTAATAGCGAAAAAGAACGAAAAAATATACGAGTAAACGAAGGACGAACAGAGACATAACGAACAGGATCGAGAGTCTTTAATGTAAACGTGCCTCTGTGAGGAACAACTACTTCGCTAACGAGGTAAATAATTACGAGTAAGATTGTTGTAATATACATCGACTGCAAAGGATTTACATTTACGCTTAGGAGACCACAGGATCTCGCTCTGTAAATATAGGCGAAAATATCAAATTTGTTTGTTCGAGTGGTGTGAGAATGTAGTAGTGACACCCGTACGTTTGGAAGTGTCTTAAGATGAGAGAATACACTAAAAAATCTGATAACAAAAAGAAAGAAATAGAAAGAATTAGTATGTAACAGAACATTCGTAATTTCATTGTTCGTTTTAAGGTGTACATACATATTTATATTAGTTGAATTAAGAGACCGACGTAACACTTCTGAGTAGGGTTATTTGTCGTAGAACGTACAGATAATTTACTTGGGTATTACTGAGCCAGAGTACTTCGGTATTTTACGGTACGTTTATAAATTTCCTCGTTTCCCTTCTCCCTATTGTACATAGTCAAGTTTTGTTAGTATCATAAAGGAGTCGTTTTTACGATGTCGACGGTAATAGAATAACATTAATATTGTTACATAACGTCCATAATTATTTTTTTAGTAATAAAAAACCTTGGAAACTTTACCATAGATTTTAGAATTTTTTCAGAATGGATATTAACAAGTGTTAATAAATGTTCACAATTCGGTTTCAATTGCTGACGACAAAGACAATAAATTCATGAGACCGTAAAAGTGGATGAAACGTTACGGCTAATTTTGCAAGAGCTGGTGTAAAAATGTGGAGCAAGGACCGGCTGTTAGTTATTTCGAGTTCGTAGCGTGTAATGGTCTAGGCATTCTAAGAAGCTTGTGGACTTATTCCTTTTTGGGGGAGTTTGGTCTGCAAAGTGCACAAGTTCCAGGATATATTTGGATCTTGGAAAAGAGGGGATTTTGCTAATGGTTTAATAGTCTTTTGACTGTAAGTAGTTGTTTGTTTATGTTGTTAAATTTATCCTAATATTAAAAATATAACCTACGTTATTTACCTTCACAAAGCATTATGCTTTTATGATGCACCATATAAATGCTTTAGATTATACGATGAAATATTCAAGTGTGCAAAAATAATTTCGAAGATAACATTGCTGTTACCAAAAAAAATGCAACACGACGAATAGCTGGAATTCCCCAGTTACTCTAGTTTGCTAATGGAAATGCCAAGTTCTGTGACAACGAAAGTAATATCGGATAAAACAACCTTGGACATCAAAATATTTCAGCAGTAAAAGTTGTTTATATTCAAAATACACTTACGCTCGTGGATCATTTTCTTTATTTATATACGTGTTTCTTTTTCTTTTTTCTTTTTATGTATATAATACTTTTCTTCACATGAATTCTACAGGTTATCAATACATATATCTGTAGTCTATAATCTCAAAATCATTAAGTTGATTTTGTTAGAAACATATTTGTTGATTAATATAAAGGTATATTTATAATTATACTTATTTACATTTTATATATATTTATTTCGCACGTTTTTAAAAATATAAATATAATATTAATTCGAAGATATAAAAAGTAAACTAAAATAAAGAATAAATTAAAATAAAATGTTAATTATACATTACGTGTAAAAAAAAAAAGTGTAATACGTAAAATAGAATTATATACTGTAATGTACCAACAGTCGGGAAAATGTGAATGAATGCAATGTATATATATAGTACGAAGCAGAAAATACTGTACATTAAAATATAGTATCATTTGAATTAAGCGCGAAGCTAGGCTTGCATTCAAGTTATACATAAAAAAAGAATAAGATGTATTTTCGAAGGTACTAGAAAATTGTGGAACATAATCGCGGGAAGGCATTACGTATAACTAGTTTCACGATAATCAAGAAGAGGCGCTGGTTGTCCATTTCTGGAGCTTTCTGAAAATCTGCGCCGGCTCAAGAGTGAACATTCACGACATAGAAGAGTGAGCATTCATCACGTATCTTTGGGAGTGTAAAAGAACGACTTGCGAAAAATAAAACGAAAGTACTACTGTTCTGATGTCACAAGTTATGGACCAGGTAAACATTCTTACCATGCTGGTTGTTCTTACACTTCTCTTGAGGTTAAAAAATTATTTTGAAAAGTACTGTGTTTCTCCGAGATGTCGTTAATTGAACACGCTTTACTTCAAAAACTGCTGTCCTTATATTATTCGTTATTTCGCGGAATATTTTCTCATACGTTCTCTTACATTGCTTCCAGATATACTATTTCTTGATATCTTTCTTTTTATTTTATTCCTTATTTCGATGCTATAATCATTTATATCTAAAGTCGAAAGATCCGAATACTTCTTAAACGACCATCTCACTTTAGAGCCAACGTTGCACAATTTTTTAGAAAAAACATTTCGATGTTTTAATATTGTTTGTATTTTTCAAAGGTTCTAGTTTATTAGTGTCAACTTGTTAAATATTTGTAGGTATATGTTTTAAAACAAAAAGGTAATTCTGCTTTGGAAGATGGGAAATATGAAGAAGCCATTAAATATTATACAGAAGCAATTGGTTTAGATGAAAACAATCATGTTTTATATAGTAATAGATCTGCAGCATTCTCTCGAGTAGGAAAATATGAACAAGCATTAGAAGATGCTAAAAAAACTGTAAGTTTAAAGCCAGATTGGGTTAAAGGATATTCGCGTATGGGCAGTGCATGGGCTCATCTAGGTAATATAGTTGAATCTATTAAAGCATATCAAGCTGGCATAGAACATGATCCTTTTGATCCTCAACTTGAAAGTGGTTTGCAAGAAGCTGTTGCTCCACTTTTAGCACCAAATGGTCCAGTAAAAAGACAAGATTTTTATTTGAAACTTGCAAACGATGCTAGAACTAAACAGCTTTTACAAGATGTAGAATATGTAACATTGTTGGATATTCTCAGACATGAGCCAAATATCCCTTATTTTATATTAACAGACAATCGAGTGCTTACGACTCTTATTGTATTGTGTGAGTCGGATAACAATATATACCACATCAATGATACATCAATGAATAAAACTTCACAATCAGAATTTCCAAAACCTAAACAAGATCCAACTATGTCTCAAAAGAAGAAAGAAGAAGCAGACTGTAATACACCTCAAAAGCAAGCACAATATGAAAAGCAATTGGGTAACGAAGCTTACAAACAAAGGAAATTCGAAGTAGCCCTTGAACATTATAACAAGGCAGTAGAGTTAGATCCTACAGAAATTATTTACTTACTAAACATAGCAGCAGTATATTTTGAACAAAAAGAATATCACAAATGCATTGCCCAATGTGAAAGAGCTATTGAAGTTGGAAGAGAAAATAGAGCAGACTTCAAATTGATAGCTAAGGCATTTACTAGAATTGGACATGTATACAAAAAAATGGAGAACTGGAAACAAGCAAAAGTGTTTTATGAAAAATCCATGTCAGAACACAGAACACCAGAAATTAAGACCCTTCTTTCAGATATTGATAAAATTATAAAAGAAGAAGAAAAGAAAGCATATATTGATCCAGTAAAAGCAGAAGAAGAAAAGGAACTTGGAAATCAAAAATATAAAGAGGGAGATTATCCAACAGCAATAAAACATTATTCTGAAGCTATCAAAAGAAATCCGGATGATGCAAAATATTATAGCAATAGAGCTGCCTGTTACACCAAATTAGCAGCATTTGATCTTGGATTAAAGGATTGTGAAAAATGTGTTGAAATTGACCCAAAGTTTATCAAAGGTTGGATAAGGAAAGGCAAGATTTTACAGGGAATGCAACAACAAGGAAAAGCGCTCACTGCTTATCAAAAAGCATTAGAATTAGATCCTTCAAATAGCGAAGCATTAGAAGGATATCGTTCATGTGCTGTTTCCGTTAGTTCCAATCCTGAAGAAGTAAGAAAAAGAGCAATGGCTGATCCAGAAGTTCAGAGTATATTACGGGATCCTGCTATGAGACTTATTTTAGAACAAATGCAAAGTGATCCTAGAGCTTTACAAGAGTAAGTACACTTAATGTACTGGATTCATTACATTTAAATACAACTTTTTGTTTCATATTAACATTGTAATGTTTTATTTATAGCCACATGAAGAATAAAGATGTAGCAGCAAAGTTACAAAAACTCTTGGAATCTGGTCTTATAGCCATTCATTGAAGATGAAAATATCCATATTTGTGCATAGCTCTGTGCATGACATTTTACTGTCACCAAGTTCCTTTGATATTAAGGAAACAATGCTGTTCATTCTATTTTTGTGTATTAGAAACGTTAGAAACGTTATTTAACCAAGCAGGCTGCTTAATGGCATATTCATTGTATGTCTATGTTTTGAAGAGCCATTTTCAAGTAAAGTTTCGTTGTATACAAAATATTTTTGCGTAAATGACATCGCCTTCAAGTCATAGACCATTTTTGCATTGTAAATCTTGTTACAATAGCCATGTAACTCTGTAAGAATCAACTTATATAATTACAAGCTTTTGCAGAAAATAACATTTCCAATTGTAAATCATTAATATCATCGACATCAAATATTCAATCGTATCTTAGATTTGTTCTAGGTTAGTTCTAGTGTTTGTTCTAGTGTTGTCTAGTTGTTAAATGAAATTATATTAAACTTGATTAATCTCGATGAACATTTCCATGCGTCAAACTATCTACTTTTACTTTATAAGTAAATACAGTTTTAGTTTAAAGTACTAATACTGTAATAACGAAGAAAAATAACAATAGTAGTAATTACAACGTAATTATAATAATACTTGTATCATTTATTTAATATCAGATGCAATTCAATAAAGAAATAAGATGAATAACAATACAATAAAATTTTTTATTACAATGTATCATGTATAAAGATGTGCAAGAAATTTTATGTTTTTATAAAATTTTAAATTAGTAGTAGGTCTGTATATCAAATAAGACTTCGTTTTATTGTAATTCATGAATGATACAAAGATCCAAAGATATTTTTTGTTGGTAACTATTATTAACTATGTACATATGTTGGTAGTAACGTTGGCAATGTTGGCAATAATTTAAATACCGGTCATAGATCAAGATACATTTAATATATTTGTATCCAAAATAAAGCTTCTTCATGTTTCGATGTTATTTTTTAACAGTTAAAAAGGTATAAAATCTTATTGGTTATGATGCCATTAACACGTCACTGTATTTACTCTATGCGAATATGTATGCACACAAGCGCATATATACATTTATACACTTTTATGTATATAATATGTAGATATACATGTATATTATATATATATATTTTATATATATGTTTATATATATATATATATATATATATATACGTATGTATGGATTGATCGCAGCGCAACCTATCATATCTAAAGGGCTAGACATGTGTGGTGAGTGAGAGTACATCGAAATGTACATGTACGTATTATATATGAGCACGTAACACACATAACAATTTAGTTCTAATAGATGTCACAGATAGCGCTACAGTCAATGCATTAACACTTTACACGACAGATTGTTGGCCCCGGGGTGAATCTGTCGAAAAATTCTGGACGAGGGATCGAACGTGAAGCGACATTGTGTGTATCAGACTGGACTTTTTCGCGACAAAAGTGTGACTGAGCTGTTGAGTGGAGGACAGGGCACCTGGAAGTCAGGATACGAACCTGATCCATCTTAAGCGCGGTGAGCCGCCGCGCTGGTGGGCCTAGCAGACGACATGTTGGCTGCAGGGAGCACCTCGTCTCGGATGTTTTGGTCGCGAATTTCTTCGGGGATTGTTGAGTGAGGGGAGTGAGCAAACGCAGTGAAAGCGAGGTGGAAAGAGAGTGTAAGACCACTCGAGGGTGTGTGCGAGAGAGGGCACACGGTTGGGTTCCCCGAGTGGTGGTTGTTCTGTGGTCGTCGACAAGAAGCTTGAGGAGAGGGGTAGAGAATACCTAGTGGCGGGGAGGGGGAACCCGGACGAGCCCTCGAAAAATTGAGGAGTCAACGAAACGAAAATCAGAGAAAGAAGAAAAAGTTCGGGCAATCCCTAGTGTGTAGGGGTTCTTCTTGTGGGGTAAAATCTACAAGAACGGTGAAGAGAAGTCGGAACAGAAGGAGAAAAAAATTCGTAAAAACGTAGAGAAAATCGGTGCAATCTGTTCGGTTGCGTAAATCATCTTTCTTATCTATGGGAGCTGTCGATTCTGCGACTTTCTTCGATTTGCGCGAATAACGAGCTAGCAGCGCACCAGAGCCGATCTATTTTAACTTCTCGTTGTTCTGTCTGAAGGGTAGGGGCTGCGTGGTGAGGCGAGACGAGGTCGAGCTGTCGTATACACGCGTCTGAGTCCCTTCCTCCTGAAACGATTTCGCGTGTGTCTCGTGTTCGCGGGCCATCACAGGAGGCGCATCGGACAGTGCACGTCAACCTATTATCCCAGTCCCGGTCTTGCTCCCACTCTCGAGTGCTCATCGTGCCTCGTGCGTACTCCCTCTATTACAACCTGCCGCGAGTGCCTCGCGGCCGGTTTTCTCCAGTGTTAAACCGAAGATTCGGAAGTGATTCGGCCCCCTTTATACTAGCAGTATTTTCTCATTGCATATATAATCGTTTAATCGTGCTCAGTGTAGTCGCGCGATTCATTTATTTTCTTCTAAGTGGATCAATTCGTTATCAGGCCAGGTGTCACGACCCGTAAACGTCGTTTCGTTTCGCTACCGATTGCCATCCTAGAAACTCGGCA